ATACCATGCATTGACTCTAAGTGAAGCCTATCCACCATGAAATCATGGCAGAAAAACGTCTCGATCCCTATTGATGATCTCATTATCAAGATCTTCTAGAGGTTGCCGCTGAAATCTATAGCGAGATCTCATTGCGTATCAAAGCTTTGGGCCTCCCTTCTTCGTCGTCAAGATTTCACAGAGTTGTACTTTACCATATCTTCAGCTCGGCCACAGCTCTTGTTCGCTTTCCAAAAAAACAATGAGCTCTTCTTCTTCTCCGCAAACTAGCCTCAAAACCCTAATGAGAACTCTTATGGTGCAATTGCCAATCATCTTGTACATTTCCCTTGTTGTGATTGTAAAGTCTTTGCACATGTCAATGGCTTCTTCTACTTATCTTTTAAAGATAAGAAAATCTTAAATGGCAGGGAATATGGAGAGTCGGGGTCGGTGATATGTAACCCTAGTACCAGGCAATCCTTTACCTTACCCAAATGGAAAACGAAGAGGAGGAGCGGAGTGGGTAGCTATTTTGGATATGATCCTACTAAGAAACAATTCAAGGTATTGTCCATGACCTGGTTAGTTGGAAATTGGAGGATCTCTGAGGAGCATCAAGTTATGACATTATCCTTAAATGGAAAATGGAAATGGAAAATGGTCAAATGTTGCATACCTCATCTTCCTGCATATCATTATCGTGGATATAATACTAGTGAGATATACATCAATGGTGTTTTGTACTATAAAGCTAAAGTCAACAAGTTTAGTGACGATTCTATAATAGTTTGCTTTGATTTTAGGCTTGAGAAGTTTAACGTTTTGAAAGTCGAGGAAACTTTCAATAGAGCAATGCCTATTGCATCAACTCTAGTAAACTACAATGGCAAATTAGGTTTGCTCATGCATGATGGATCTTGGGCCCTACATGCACCTAGGGTTTCCTCATCTCATACATTGGAGAAAATAATACTCTTTTCTTAGTACCTAGCTAGGGTTTACTGTTATATCAATATGCGATCAAAGAAGTTACTTAGCAAAGGAGAAAACACATTGTCGATCTTGATTGATCTCATTTTTGACATATTCTTGAGGTTGCCTGCGAAATCTACAGCTAGATGTCGTTGCGTATCGAAGCTTTGGGCCTTCGTAATTGGCCATCAAGATTTCATAGAGTTGTTCTTGACCAAATCTTCAGCTAGGCCACAGCTCTTGTTCGCTTGCAAAATAAAACATGAGGTCTTCTTCTTCTCCGCACACCAGACTCAAAACCATGAATCGACCTCTTCTGTTGTAATTGTCAATCATCTTGCAAAATTCMCCTGCCATTCTCAAGCAACTGCTCCTGTCAATGGCTTATGCTTCGATCTTAAAAATAAGCGGGTCTTAGAGGACAAGATATGTAACCCCAGCACGGGACAATCCTTGATATTACCCAAAGGGAAAACGACGAAGCATAGAGGAGTGTGTAGCTACATTGGATATGATCCTATTAAGAAACAATTCAAGGTATTATCCATGACCTGGTTAAATGGAAACTGGAGAATCTCCGAGGAGCATCAAGTTATGACATTAGGATCTGGCGCACGGTCATGGAGAATGATCGAATGTTGCATACCTCATTATCTTGGATGTGTTAGTTCGAGAAACTTTGATAAGGGATTGTATGATGGATATGGTAGTGAGATATGCATCAATGATATTTTGTACTATAAAGCTAAGGTCAACACGTCTAGACCTCATGAGGTTTCTATGATAGTATGTTTTGATTTTAAAACTAAGAAGTTTAACGTGATAAAAGTCGAGAAAACTTTCTATAGAGCACTTTCTCATACGTTGGCTCTGATAAACTACAACGGCAAATTAGGTTGGCTTATGGATGATGGGTATTACTATGTTACTCGAAGAAGTAGACGTTTTGAATTGTGGATTCAAGAAGACGATGAAAAACATGAATGGTCAAAGCATATATACGTATTGCCTACTTCATGGAACAATGTAGTTGGACAGACCGAGCTATACTTTGTTGCAATCACTGGTACAAGTGAAATTGTGTTGGCGCCCCGCTACCAATCCACGCCTTGCTACCTTTTCTACTATAATACCGAGTGAGAGACGGTTAAAAGAGTAGAAATCCAAGGATTAGAAGCGTTTAAGGGTTGCAGTGTTAGAACCTTTCTGAACTATGTAGACAACGTGATGCTTATTCCAGAGTTGTAGGATTTTAATATTTTGCAACATAGCTAGTTTGGCTCTCTCTTATAAGTTCTCATCATAATCTCTCCACTGGTTTTGTGCTTTATCACATTTTGGCTTATTTGATGACTACTTTTCCAGTTTTCTGTGATTGTTATGGATACAATATGCACACTCATTGTGTACTGCATTGGCTGTTCTAATTCTAAGCTAAAAGTTAACTAATTATTGGACTTCTTCTGACTAGTGAAATTCGTTGTTTTATGTAGTTTATAATGTTAACTTAACAAATATTGAAAAGGCCATTCCTTAGTTTATAATATTAACTTAACAAATATGAGTAACAATAATAAGCTCTCCAATACAGAATACACACATTACACAATCAAGACATTAGACATATATAATTAAACTGCCCAATAGCTTCCATCTCTTATACATAAACTTGAGTTTTATGATTATTTTTCAAAATTCAAACACTTCTCATTAAGAGTAAACAATAATACATGTTTAAGCCCAAATAGTTTAATAAAACAATAGTTTTGTTTAAGCCCCAATAGTTTAATAAAACAATAGTTATTTTTAGGTTTCGCATAATGATCCAACACATACACTAGTGTATCTATGCCTATGTTGCATGAAACCGGAAATGGATACATAGAAGCGAAACATTTAAAAACGCGGAAGCTTTGTTTTTGAAAAAATTAGGAAGCGGATACGTTTCAGAAACGTATTACCATATATAAATATATAATAATAATTTAAATAATACCAAACATTTAAATTGAATCTGTACTGAAAAACATTGTTTGAATTGAAAGTAACACAAATCCAATGATAAAAGTATTTATTTTTATATTTTTGAAATACCGTTGGAATTCCAGATCTTCGATCCATAATCTTCTCGGTGTCCGGAGCCAGCCGTTGATAATACGACGTTGAAGACGTAAATCACCCCTCCCAATACATAAAAGTATTACATAACTTAATTAAAAAAAAAACAAACCATAATTTTTACGAACTGACTATTCATATTTCTATTTATTTTAAGAAACAAATTCTCTAAATTAAAAATTATCAAAATATTCCTTAAGCTTTCTAATATTTATCTTATTACGTTTTTAAAAACTAAAAAGATGTTTCCGTTGCGATTCTAAAATGGAATCAAACACTTCCACGACGTTTCTGAATTGATAATTTTTGGAATCCCGTTTCCACAACGCTTCCAAAAAAAATTCCAAGAGATTCCAATTCTGATTTGAAAGTATGAAACATAATCAAATAGACTTTCCATGAAATGTAGATTCTGTGCAATGAGTGAAGTTGATGGAGAAAATATCATTGTTTTCAAGTTTGCGAATCAAATACTTGTCTTCATCGATTATACATATCAGTGATAAGGGCCTGAATAATTAACACGGGTCCATTGGGCTTTTCTCTAAACCCAATTTAATTATCTTCACTTTTTCTATCGAGGAAAGTACTTTCTTCTTAGGGTTAACCGCAATGTTAGTGCAGTCTATCCACCATGAAACCACCGCGGCAGAATTTGTCGATCCCGATTGATCTCATTATCGAGATATTCTTGAAGCTGCCTGCGAAATCTATAGCTAGATGTCATTGCGTATCAAAGCTTTGGTGCTCTGTTATTGGCCGTCAAGATTTCACAGAGTTGTTCTTGACCAATTCTTTAGCTCGGCCACAGCTCTTGTCCGCTTGCCAAGTCGACAAAGAGCTCTTCTTCTTCTCCCGCAAATCAGCCTCAAAACCCTGATGAGAACTCAATCATTGCTAATCATCTCGCGCATTTCCCCACTGTAGCTAAAGTCTTGGCACCTGTCAATGACTTCTTCATCTTATCTCTTGAAGATGAGAAGATCTTGAACGGCAGGAAATTTACAGAGTCGGTGTCGGTGATATGTAACCCTAGCACTGGACAGGCCTTTACCTTATCAAAAGGGAAAACGAGGAGGAAAGTTGGAGTGGGTAGCTATCTTGGATATGATCCTATTGACAAACTATTCAAGGTATTGTCCATGACTTGGTTAACTGGAAATTGGAGGTTCTCTGAAGAGCATCAAGTGATGACATTAGGAACCGACGAATCTTGGTGGAAAATTACGTCATAATCCTGCATATCATTATGGTAGATATGGTAGTGAGATATGCATCAATGGTATTTTGTACTATATAGCTAGCTATCGAGGTTCTATGATAGTTAGCTTTGATTTTAGGTCTGAAGAGTTTAACGTTTTGTTGAAAGCCACGGAAGGTTTTGATGAAGCAATGTCTGCAATGCCTTATACAACAACTCTAATAAACTACAATGGCAAATTAGGTTTTCTTATGTCGGATGATTCTTTCTATGTTAGTGTTAGTGGAACAAGTAGAACTTTTGAGTTGTGGATTCTGGAAGACGCCGACGGAAAACATGAGTGGTCAAAGCATATATACGTATTGCCTCCTCTATGGAATGATGTAGTTGG